CCCCCCCCCCCCAAATGTCAGCCTTGCAAATTCATATGAATCCTTTAATACACCTCAGACGTTGCCTCTCAGGTGTTTCCTGTCCATCCTTTCCCCTCCTCCCTCCTTCAGGCAGCATTCCTTTTATTATTTTATGGTAATTGTCTGTATGGGTGGCTGCCTAGCTCCATCAGACTCTGGCATCACTGAGGACAAGGACTGTACATGTTATTCATCTTTATATTTCTAGCATCTAGTGCAATGTCTGGCATATCAGCAATCGGTAAGTTTTTAAAAAACTGATCTGAGTTTAATTGAATTCCTTGACACATTAAGTTAAAAAATTTAGCTGTGGTAACTGAAAGAATTGGCAATAACTTTATTCATGAAGTATATTTATCTCCTTCTGTTTTTTATGATTTTCAAAAAACTTACGGTTTTTTTAATGGTCAAACTGTTTTTCTCTCATATAGCACAATGCCTTACTTGTAACCATGAGAAGTGGAATATTACTATGATTCATGCCCTAGGCAAAGGGAGTTGTAAATAAGATGATAGGTGACAAATCTGTGTGTTTGATGGAATAGATATTTCTTTGCCTTCTGTTACATCAGAATACAGTGACCATTACGTGAATTAGCTATTATTATATGTTTTTCTTTGTGTTGAATTTATGCTTGCAAGGGGAAGAGAGAAGATAGGTTCAAATTAAATTATTCTTTTGTTCTTTTTATATTCTTTTTACCATGTTTCTATGTTCCTTGGGATTTGTCATTCTGCCACTAACAAGCAGTATGATTTGGGGCACATTGTTTAGTTGCCCTGGGCTTCAGTTTCCTGATCTGTAAAACAGGTGGTGTAGCAGTATTACCTCACAGGACTGCTGGGAAAGTTCAAAGCGTTAAGGTATGAAGGCGCTTAGGATAGTAAGATTCTAATAGCTATTGAGATTCACCCCATGCCGCTTTTCTCACCCAGTTTATGTTCAGTTCCCTGGATGTACTGAGCTATTCCTTCCGCTAGGCCTTTATGGGCTGTTTCCTCCGCTGGGATCAGTCTCCGTCTGACTGGCTTCTGCTCAACTCTGAGTCTCCTACTAGACTGGCAGTTCCAGGACAGCACAGTGCCTGCCCGGTGCAGTAGCTGTGCAATCAGTATTTACTGAGTAAATGAGTGAGTGAAAGAATGGAGCCAGCTGTGGAACAGAGAACAGGATTGTATGGAATGGAAGGTTGCTTCCTCTAGGGTTACTATAGTCAGAGCAGGTCCCCTCACCGTAGGCAGGGAAGAAAAGAGAGACTATTCGCTATATGTATATGTATGTGTATGAATAATATCCACCCTACGAATTAAATGGTGAAATGATAAATGTTCAGTGGTTGAAGTATTAAAATAGGCATCAGATTCTTTGCCTGAGTGATGATCGGCTTGAGCTTACAATAGTATTTTTATTGTCTCCCAGTATTTGACTATGCCATTGTTTATGCTCTGAGGTTAATACATTCCAACTACACTTCAAAAAAAGAAACTCTGAAACAACTGCCCACTTTCAATCCTGGGTGTTATTTTAGAAGCTACAATTTTTACTGAATTACAAGTTATAAATTGTAGATAAAATTTAATGATAACAATGTTTTTAAAATGGGTTTGGAAGGACATGCACGATGTATCACCAGTATTGATTGGTTATCTTTAGGTGGTAGAATTATAGATGACTTTCTTTCCTTTTACTGTTCTGTAATTTCCATCTTTTCTGTGGAAGATGTGTATGGAACTGCAGCTTGTTGATATATATCTGAATTCAGCTCTAGATAATTATCCCTTTAGCATTAGCCCCTGTTTTTAGAGGCCCTTAATGTAACAATGAACTTTTGCTTGAAGACATTGAAGTTAAAGAAAAATGTTTGTTTGATTTTTTAAAATCGGAAACTTCCAGGAAGGCCATTCAAAGGTACATACATGTAAAAATCTTATTTCAAAATTGTTACTTTTAAGTATAACATTTTGGAGATACTGCCTATTTAGAGGTAATACTGAGCCATTTTAACTGTGATATTTCTAACAATGTGTTATGTTTCTAGAAATATCTGCTATATGTTTTAGTCTAAATCAGTTTCATTTCATTGTTTCTCTAGTTTTGTCCTTTACGTCTTTTTTCTGGTCTGTGCCTTCTCCCAGGTGATGTACGTTACCTTGTGTATGCCGACAACTCCAAACTCTTTCTCTCGTCAAGCCACTCTCCTGAGCACCCTGTGCTAGTTGAGACCCTCTTGTTGTGAGCCATAGAAACTCACTCAAGCTGGCTTAAGCAGAAAAGATACAAGGGCAAGGATCCTACAAAATCTCAGGAATGGGCAGAACAGAAACAAGACAGTTCATTCCCTGGGCTCTGTTACTCTATAGGCAACTGCCCCATTTTTTTCTGTCTGAAGGCTGATTTCCTTACCTCCTCCAGTCTATATGTCAGAAAGCATGACTTTCACTATTTCAGAATTTATAGGACTAGGCACTCCGGGGGAGGGGGAACAAAGGAACAAAACTAAAAGTGAAGCTAAGCTGAATTTAATTCTCTCTTTGGATTCCAACTCCAAGGGAGGGACTCGGCTTCAGTCAGGCATTGTCCAGTAACTGACTAGATGGGCTAGATGATGCCAGGGAAACAACTGTCGGGCAGATAATCTGCACGTAGGAATTGATCATTGATAGAGAGTGAATTGAATGAGTGAATGAGCTGACCTAGGTTAGGATTTCCTGAATCAAAATACCACAATAATGTTATTGTGGTTATGATTTTTTTAAATAGTCATTTTTTTAAAGAAAAATACTAATGTATTATGGATAAAATGACAGATTCTGAGATTTCCTTCAAAATAATTCCATGAGTGCATGGTATAAGGGAGCAGTGCTTTTATATAGAGAGAAGCATATATGAAGCAAGATTGGCAGAGTTCATTGTTGCAACTGGATGGTGGGTGCATGAGAGTTCACGGTGCTATTGTCTTTACTTTTTTATATGTTGGAAATGTTTTGTAATAGACTTTAATCACAAAAACAAAATTGTGTTTAGTAGAATTAGTAGCCTCATATAAGTTATTGGCTTATAAATTGAATTGGTTTTGTTCCAGTGCCAGTATTATCCCATCTCAATAATGAGGTTTTTGTTTTAGCCAGCTCTAGTCTTTGTTTCACCTGAAGGGCAGTTTCAGCAGATGTCTAATATGAACAAACACACAAAATACTTTGTACCTGAAATATTTGGATATGAAAACATTAGTTTTTAGCTAAGGTGCCTAGAGACTCGAGCTTCTCCTAGTACTGCCCAGCATATAGTAGGTTCTCAGTAAAAGTTTTTTTGAAAGGGTGCCCCCCAGCAGTCACAAACCAAAAAGGAGCATTACCTGTTGAGCTGTTGTCTGGCAATTTATTTGTTTAAGAAATCTTGTTTGTTTTTTGCTGTAGGCTTTTCCATCATTTAAATTTTGCTGACTGTATCACTGTAGTATAATTTAAAAAAATGAGATAAATGAAAGTGGAGGGTAGTTGTGATTGCTCCAGGCTCACCTGGCCACCTGAGGTCTAAGGAACCAGTATCATGGCACATCTATAACACAGTTGGCAAACCAGTATAGAATCATATATACCAAATGTCAGGGGAAGAGAAATAAAATGTTGGAAATTATTATTGTGTTTACTTTGGTTATCTTCTGTTTAAGCATCTGTTTCAGAGCAGTAAAGAAAGTCTTGATAAATCTAGGTGAAACATTTTTTAAGCTGTTAAGTAGTCTTTATTAACTTATTAATCTATTAATATCAACTTATTTGTTACTTGATTAAAAATAATCTCTTAATTACTTGTCCTTTATCAGTCAAGAATAAGATGGAGTGACTTTTACATAATGATTTATAAAATGTATTTGTTGACTTATTAAATGTACTTCACTTGTAAATTAGAATTATGAAGAAACTATGACATCTTGAAACATTTAAAGCATTTCTAAGAGTAGATAGGACCATTTACTTAGAGCATTTTTTAAGATGGCTGACATTTATTTCTTCCCCAAATATTACAGTTAAAATTAGGTGGGGTAGGGTAGTTTTGTCAGTTATTATTTTTTAATGTATGAATTTAGAATTTGGCTGTTAGAAAATATTTGCCACAGTTGTGTGGGCAGGGCATACCAAGAAAAATTTCACATTATTTCCATTCCCCTCAGCCAAGCCTAAAGCCTCATTACCAGAAAAATAGGGGGCATAGAGATGATTCTCAACAGATAAGATATTTCTAGAACATAAAATTAAGACATTGACCTCAGCCATAAATTCAGTAGAGAGGTGGGCAGACAGTATGGGGGGCTGTGAGTACAGACACCCTGTATTGGCTGAGGAACTGGGCGACCAGGGGCGACGGGCTCCGTCCTGTGGGTTTCTCGTGGAGCGAGAGCCCTCAGTTTGAAGGGTGAGGGAGGGTTTTTCTTGTTGTGGGTCCCTGTGGCCAGGAGCCTGTGTTAGGCCTCAGAGGCCTGACTGGAGTTTGCGGAGTCAGTGGTCTGTTTGCACTTGGTGGGGCTCCTGTTTTACTCTCTGAGGGACAAATAGCCAATGCTTTTCTCTCTTTTTGTGGGGGTAGGGATGGGAGGGAGGCATGAGTGAAACTGTTTACCTTAGTCTTGGTGCTCACGTAGCTCTGAGGAGCCTTGGAGCCTGTCTGCTCAGGCTGGGCTCTCTTTCAAGAGGAGTGTTTAGAAATAAATATTTCTGACAGTTTACAAATCCCCCTCTTTTAATACTTGAGAATGGTATAACTTTGGGGGTTAACCCCTTAAAGTTGTAAGAATAGTAGATGATTTTATATGGCCTGTAGCTCAGAATCTCACGTGTTAATTTGGAAAGAACGAGGCCAGTATTCAGCACTTCCTTGAACCAGAACATGTTACTTATTAGCTTCATTGCTTGATTTTCACAGAATGTTGCATCTTCATTTAAGTCACAAGGCTGAATTATATTACTATGAAACCTACCAGTGTTCCCTAGAATAACATGGTAATAATTTTTCTAAGAGAAAACAAGTGGTAACAAAAATTATTTCCATTATAGGAACAGAAAAGAGAGATAATACCAAAACAAAATTCCAGAATATATGAAGTCATTATGACTGAAAATCGTGTATTACACACGTACTTCAGATTTTTAATTTTATTATAATAATTGGTCTTTCCTGTCATCCCCACAGGCATGTTGCAAAGATAAATACAGTCTCCATTCTCATTATTTTTAACCGCAGAAATGTGAACTGTTGATGTGTTAGAGTTTAGGGACTAGAAAGCTGCAGAAAATGAGTTTTCTGTATCTTTTGGAAAACAGTATAGCGTCATAAGCGAAATCAGAATTAGTGAGTGGAAGCAGAGTGTTCACATAATAGAGTGCGCAGCCCTGAAGCTGTTGGTGCCAGTGGAGAGCAGTGCTGGATAAAGGGGTAAACCAAAGTGTACATACAAGAGGATTGACCAGAGCTCTCCACGTTTTGCAAACTTCTCTTCCCCCCTAAACTCCAACTTTGTCTTGGATAATATTTCTCAGAATTCAGAACTCGTTTTTTTTCTTTCAGAAAACTGAGGACTGGGAGAAAAGTAAGACTGAAGCAGACATGGAAGAGTATATATGGACAAATAGCTCCTCGGAAAAAAATGTCCTGGAAACACTTCTCCAAATCAAAGCTGCAGAGAAAAACCTGGAAGTAACTAAAGAAGAGCTCCTTGGCACTAAAGAAGTTGAAGATTACAAAAAGTCTGTAGTTAGTCTTAAGAACGAGGGGGAAAATGAAAATACCCTTTCTCAGTACAAAGAATCAGTGAAGAGACTATTAAATTTGACGTGAGTTATGTAGAAAAAATATGCTTGATTTATTAATTTTTATGATCTATATGTAATTGTTATCTAATTTGATATAAAGTTGAAAATGTTGAAAGAAAAACATTGTTTTATTTCAGAGTAAAAATTACTCCTTTCACACTAATGCACAATGGCAGTGATTATTCACAAATTTTCTTACATTCTGGGGCAATTAGACTAATTAGGTCTGTGTGATTTCTTCTGGTTCTAAAGTGTTTTGATTTTATTTCTACCTTAACAACTTTAGAACTTAAATATGTACAATATAATATAGTTATTTTGTTACCTGCTACATTGTTTTCCTACACATTAGCACCTATTGGATGCTTCTGAATTGTAATTTTGGTTATTTGGGAAGCTAGGTCCAGAACCCAATCCCCCTCTGCAGCTCAGTGTTTTGTTTACATAACTGCTGTCTACCCAGTGCATTTTTGCAGATGCCAATCCTGATTAGAAACAGGTCCTTGGCAGTATTTTCTAACCTAAAAAGTTGGTTCCATCCCTCTATTTTGAGGTCACTTTTTATTGATTCAATTCTGTTTAGCATCTTACTCTATTTTCTGGGGCTCATTTCTCCAAACCCAAGCTGGAAATGGAGGTTAACTGGTATACATCTCTCGATTCCCCAGTTAGAGCTTCCACAGCTCAGGAAAGAGATGGGACATAAGGGCCTTGAGTGTAATTGGAGTAAATGACAGAACGAGAAGTGCCCTAAGGCTTTCCATTCCATTAAGCTGTCAATTAAGGATTTTTAAGTATATCTGGAAGTCATTTCTTAGCACTTCCAAAGTTGTCCACAAGTGATTAAGTTAAAATCAAAATAAAGGTATTATTGAGTTTATTTACCTAAGACTTGTTTTGCCTGACAGAATTAGAGGACATAAATGAAAGCCAAAAGCAATTTCAAAACAATTGCCCAAAAGATTTATATAATTTGAAGGTATGATTTGTTATTAACAAGCCCAAGAGTCAGTGGATTAGAAAGGACAACAAACAATAGGGCTTTGAGTACAAAAAGAAATGAGAGGTATGTTGTATTTCATTGGATGAAAATAGTGAATGAAAAGTAAAGTAGATAAAACTGAATTTTTAGATCAGGTTTAAAGCATATGTAAGTGTATTGAAATATTATATTTTTAGCGTCTCGGAGAGAGTTAAGGAAAACTCAGCTGCAGAAACAGGATTGAAGAAGGCAACATTTTGAAGGAACATGAAGATGCAGTAGATTAGGGCCATCAGTCCTGCAGTAACCACACAGTGCAGGTGGAAGCAGGGGGAGTCATGATCTGTAATAAAGAATTTGACCTTTCCAGAAGGATTGGCGTCTCCCTTCAGCTTCTGGGAGGTAATCTGTGTTATAGCTCATAGAAGTGTCTTTGTTTAGGGCTGAGCTTCTCACAGTGAACTTTAGGGTGGGGCTGGCCACACCTGATAATCTTAGGCAAGTCAGAAAAACCAAACACGTTATTTGGGCCTGGGGGTCGGCGGGGGTCTTGAGTCATCTGGTAAATCAGTCCACCTGGGACTGAGATCAGCCACAGGTAATCAGTGAATCATGCCTGTGTAATGGAGCCTCGATAAAAACTTTAAACACTGAGGCTCCGACAAGTTTCCTGGTTGTCAATACTCTGGGCATGTTGTCAGACCCTGGAACTGGGAGAGGAATCCGTCCTGCCTCCCCCAGGGGTGGGGGGCACCAGAAGCTATGAGTTTTGAACCTTCCTGGACTTCATCCTATGAGCTTCTTCTGTATACTTTCCCTGTAATAAACCACAACCATGAGTATAACGGCTCTTGTTGAATTCTATGAATTCCAGTAAATTACTGAACCTGAGGGTGGTTTGGGGGCCCCTGCCCCACCCTGAGCTTAGAGTTGGTGTCAGAAGTCAGGGTGGTCTTGTACAAGACCGTGCCCTTTAACCTTTGCAGTCTGGCTAACTGACCTGAAGCGCTTGGGCTGAGGCTTGTCCCTAGGATGGTAAAATCTTAGAGCTGTAAGATGAATACAAAACCTCAAAGGTAACAGTTGCTGTCATCGTGATTTTAGCCATGACTAAACAGCACTGCTTGTCCGTTAGATCCGTGTCCTTTACACTGTTAAGTTAGCCAGTGTATAGGATGAAGATCCTGCTCACCCTTGTATAAGGAGGATTCTAGGGGACACTGCTGTGTCGATAGGCAGTCACTTCTGACTTCAAACTCTAAGTAAGTCACTTGGAAGTTGCTTAAACATGTAGGCAAATAAAACAAACCTGTCTTCTTAATTGTAGGGTGCTTTAGTTCTTTCCATATTTTCTTTCCAATATTGGTAAGTATTTCATAATACTGGTCAACTACAGACTTAAAAAAAGATCTAACTACAATGTGGCAGAGATTTCAGTATGGTGGCGATTCCCAGATGGGTGTAAACCTTCGCCTGAGTTGTGGACTGGGTCCTGACATTTTTGTGTCTTAAAGTTTTAAATTCTGCCCAGGAGCGCTCTTTGGTCCCTTCAACTTCTATTCGGGATGTGGCTTCCGGGCCCAGTTGTGTTCGCTTCTTGGCTGCCTCTGGCGTGGTTGCCTCTCCTGTCTAAGTCTGATGGTCAAAGGGAGGGGCAGAAGAGGAGTGTGAGTTTGTTTTCTTATAAAGGGTAAATATATTTTCCCCAAATTATGGTCATTTCTCTAAAACTATCAGTTTTAAGGAATGAGTAAAACTGAGAAACTCCAAGGAAGAAAAAATAAGTTTGTTTTCTTTCTAGCAGCCCTGGTTTGTTGGGAAGCTTAAGTAATTTGTATACATTTGAAAGAAAAGCAATCTTAAAAGAATGTATGTAGAAATTTTTAAAGACAGCTTCCTGGATTATTTATTTAAATGTAATTTTGGGGTAATTTAAATCTTGATATCCCCCCTAAATAGCAGGGGCTTTTTTCCTACTGTATGAGGAAGGAAGTTGAACAAATAGCGAGATATAATAGCGAGTTAAGGCAAATTGATTGAATTTTTAAATTCAGACTTATAGTTAATATTTTGAGAGAACAGTACTATTTTATTAATCTTATAAGATTTCCTCTTCTACATTCTTTGTGCTTATGGTTGTCTTACTATCTGTTCTCACATTATAAAGAGTTTTAGGGATGAGATTAAAGGACTACAGTTTAAGATCATTAGAGACTTAAGTTACAGTTTTCTACATTTATGGGTCTAAGAGTTAGGGGGCAAATCTGGTGTAAGAAGTAGGCAGAGCTGAAATACCGAGTGCTAATATTTGCACCTGGTAAACTATATGCAAGTAAGGGGATAAGCTTTATTCAACAGATGTCAACACAAAACTCGAAGATCTCCGTGCCATAATTATTAAAAGGCGTGTCATCTTTAGAAAACGCAGATGGATTAGGATTGAGAAGAATTAATCGATGGGACATAGAAAAACTACATAAAAATCAGAAGCATTTGCTCATGGGTTAGTTACTAAAAATGTATAGTGCTCTTTTGCTCAAACCACTGTAAGATTTTATTAACATGTAACAATAATTTGACCTTGATGGGAGACAAATAAGATGTTACAGCATTTTCCTCCCTGTCTTTTCCCATGCTTATTAGAAAAACGGAAGCTTTTAGTCTAACAGTGATGCTGAGCATGGACTTTCAAACAGATTAAGTCCTGGCTTCACTACTTACTAGCTGTGTGACTTTAGGCAAGATACTTGGTCTCTCTTCTCAGTTCCCTCATCTGTGTAATTGGATAACAGTAGTATAGTGGATAATAATGGTGTGCCTCACTCACAGAACTGTGAGGATCCAGTGAGTTTATACATGTACAGCACTTAGAACCATCTCTCAGGATGCTAATAACGGCAGAGGTCAGGACTTCGGAACTTTGGCAGAGAGGACACTATTCAGAAAAAACGGAAACAATAAAAAAGCAGTTATGCTTATCAAGCATTAGCCTTTTTTAGACACTGGTAGGAGAGGGCATCCTATGCAATTATTTTTTAACCAAACTGCCCTGGTCTTGCAGAAAACTAAAAATCGTAACTCTTACAACTTTCACTATTAAGAGTTCTCCTTCAGAATGTTACGTTTTTTCGTTCGCCTGGATCCTGACCTTCCCTGTCCTGGTTTATACTGGCCCCGCTTCTTTCGACAGCATCCAGATGCCAGGATGACTATACAGCAGCAAAGTAAGAGGACAGAGGTACAGAGGGCCACGGGAACCAGCCACGTCTTCGGAGTCACATGTGCCCCGTCCGGTGTTTTGCCTTCGTTCTCAGATGTGTGGTTTCTGCTGCTGTACCCTTTGGTTTTGTTCGGTAACTGTTTGCTGCTGTTGAGTCGGGATGGAATGGGCATATGAGAAAGTTCTGTGTCTATGGGCACAAAGAAAGGAGAAAGAGTCTTGTTATCTGGATTGCTGATGAAATCAGCACTGGGTGACACCTTATTTACCGTGGTGGCAATGGAATCATTCAGGGAGGTGAATCTTGCCCAAGAATCTGTGGTTAATTCCTTGGAATACCTGGTATGGCTTGCGTTTACAACCAAATCTTGATGTGTGGTTGATGATGGAGCCTCTAGTGATGGTAGCATTTGGCTTATCATGGTGGTTGGTTGTTTATCTAAATTCATAGCTTTTAGATTTCTTAGTCTGTCCCATCTATTAGATGAAGAACGGGTATTTAGATACGGTGGAGGTGATTGTCCAAAAACCAGCAAATCTGGATCTATACCTGAAAGATAACGCATCATTCTTTTTACTTTAATTTTAAACAGAAGGACCATAAAGTACAGTTTGGAGAAATCTCAGGTTGTACTGCTGTAACTGAGCTAAAATGTTGCTTACTTCTGAAAGGCTTAGAAACATCCAGCTTTTGCCAGCCGGTTTCTAGGTTACGTGCCTCTACTAGAGTATTACCAACATTCTTCAAAACACAAACAATACGTAAATCCTTACCGTCTGTTATGTTGTACAAAATGGCACCGGTTCCGGGCTCCAATATGCAGCTTTCCAGCGCTGGGCAGTGAATGTGGAGGCAGTTGACATTGTCGTGCATAGGATCATGGTAGAAGACAGCCAAGTTACACGCAACTGAAAGGGAAACAGGCAGAGGACCTCTGCAGGTAGCCCTGACTTCTGCCAGCTGGATGAGCCCAGGTAACACCGGATTCACAGTACATTACAGGGCCATAGTCAGACCTTTTACAGAACCTCGCGAACTATAGTAACCACTCTTTTAAAAGAAAATACCCACTGATTTCTCCTAAGTAATCCTTTATACATCCCATCCCATGCGGAATCACCTAGAATCATTGCCAGTATTTTATGTTCCTGAGAAAGTCACTTGGCTACAGAAACCTCTGGGAAATATATATATCAGATTTCTAGCTGCAGTGCCCTCTCAGAGTGCTAAAGGACTAGAGTTCACCAGAGAAAGAAAGAGGAAAATGAACGGACAGATACTGTAACAGAAGGGGAGTAACAGAAGGCAAAACCAGATGGCTACATTCCCGGAGAGGCCGGGCGGGAAGGCGGCGGGCCTCGCCGACTCAGGCCTGCTCCCGCCGGGCTGCGAAGCCACTCCCGTGACAGCCTGATCCTGTCCTTCCGGGAGGAAAGGAGCAGATGGGGAAGGACGTGGGCATTTGGATTTCAGTGGTTAGGATGACACTACCTGCTCATTGTCCCTTGTTCTACGTAAGTTTGCTCCTTAAAATGTCGTGTAATTGCTGGAAAATCTTAAGTCATGCTTGCTAAATGCAGGTCTTCAGTCCTCCCTAACGTGCGACACATAGTTGCCTGCGTCAGTGTAGTGGGAACCAGGTGATGGGGAGTATCCATTGGCCACAAGGTAGCAACTCCTCTCATCAAGTAAGGCGACAGCGATGGCGTGGTATCAGCAGGCCCAGCTGCCTAACGCTGCCGTGGATCCGTGCTGCTGAGCCTGCTCTCCCGCGTAAGCTGAACTGCGGGAGGTGCCTCTCCCCCCATTACTGCTGGACACCCCGGCTTCTGCGCTCTGTCCTCTTCCAGTGAGAGACAGAGTGGGGCAAAAGTCAAAAATACGTTATAGATTACAAACACGTTCCCCGGGGCTGTGCTGTAGTCTAGGGAAAGGAATGAAAAATACTCAGTTTTAGACATTACATTTCTGATAAGAAAGCTGATGCTGGAGGGAACAGCTTTTAGAAGTGTTTTACATTCCTCTCGGTGTACATTTCAGAGTTCCCTCTAGCAGGTTACCTATTCAAGATTGTAGCATTTTTAAGTTCTGGCTTCCAGATAAAAACTGGGAGGTGTGTTTGTGCCCTTTCTTCTGGAGAAAGAAAGTCACAACTTGGAGGCTCTGAAATCCTGGGACTCTACTGGCTGCTTAAAGTATCCTGACAGTCCGGAGGCCAGGGCTTCCCTGGTGTTGAGAGGTAAATTGATACCATGAGAAAATGCTGGGCCAGTACCGCCCCTCCCCCGCCGCCCCTCGGGAAGGTGTGTGGGAATTACAAGCGTCTCTAAGGTGAACATCTGGATTGGCTACCTTTTCAAAGAGATTTCCCTTTAATAAATTAATTGCCCTCCTCTGTGCCTGATTAACTTATCACACTGTGGTCTTTTGACAGTTTATTTTTTGACAGTTTATTTTTTATTTATTTTTGTTTTTTGACAGTTAGTTTAGACTCTCCAAGTAGTTCCAGTTTGCATCCCAGAAATCTTACATGCATAACTGGATAGGAGGCATTGGCAATTAATAAGTCAGAATCAAACCAGGGGAAGTAAGTGTGGGACAACCAAGAAAGACAGTTTAAAGTGTTGTGTTGCTTTGTTATTTCTAAGTCGCTTTAAAATCTTGGAAGAATAAAAAATAATGAAAGAAGTCTTTACAGAGTTATAACTTGAAATTCTGTAACAATGAAATATTTTCCTAAGTACAGGCTTTGTTCATGGTCTATGGGTGATGTTAAACCCGAATTCTGGATTTCGGACAAAAAAAAGTTAGCATATTTTGAAAATCTCCTCTCTCTCCCTTCCTTCCCCCTCCCTTTTTCCCTATTTGACATATATCTCCCTATTTGTTTCAAAATATGAATCACAATCTAAATTCCTGTTCAATACATCCCACCCACATTTGCTCAACACAAACAAACACATTTAAATTTTTTGAAATGATACCAATACACCAGAAGAATTCTGAAAAGAAAATTATTATAAATATTTTTGAAGTTAAATATGCTGTATTTGGGGCTGTAGGCGTATTGTTAGTTGACACTTGGAGAAATATTTTCATTTAGCACTTTGGTGAAGAAAAGGATTCTCAGTTACCTGTGGGTTCCAGAGCATGCGGGGTCATTAATAGATTTATAAACCGAGGCTATCCTGTCCCAAACTGCAAAGTCAGCCTCAGTGTCCCTCCCTCTTCTCCTCTCCCTCTCCTCAGGGCATCTTTCCCAGTTGTTTTCAGCTGTTCACTGGCCCCTCTGCCCAGGGCTCCTCACTCAGGTTTGGGAAGCTCCTCTCACTTTCGCTCAGGCGTGTCATTGCTACTCACCATCCCTCCTAAGACAGCAGCTCCTACTGCATTTCTGGCCTGTGCTCTCGGAATAATACCTCAGGAACTGGGCTCCCATCTTCTGAGACTCCTCCAGGTTGATGAGAAGACCCGGGAAGCGACGGATCCAGCAGTCTCTGTAAAAAACAGTGGGCGAGCAGAGGGAGTCTGAAGTCCACCCCATGCTCAGGAGCAGTACCACGTCTGCTGCCACCACCGCCACGTGCATTTCCCTGGTAGGAGGCGTCGGCAGTCGGTCTGACTTCCAGGCAGAAGCTGGAGCTGACCATCAGGGTTTGGGACAGTTTCGGGACAGTTCCTTAGGGCTGTTGCTAAGGAACAGCTTCCTTGGAGCTCTTCTAGAGGGTCACTGCCTAGAAAGACGAGGCCGTTCTTTGACTGCACATTGATTTTTCTTTTGTTTCTTTCCAGTTGGGCCCCAGGTGAACATTGCTGGCGTTAATTCTGAACCCTTTCCAGGCCATTTCAATACTTTGTCTCTTAGCCTCTTAAAGACGTGGATTCCCTCCTCTCTTTTTCTTCTTTCTCTGAAAGTGAATCGTCACAAACACCTTTTACTAAATAAATAGAAAGGCAAATGGAAATTCTAGCCAAGAGTCTTTGTGAGGACAACAATAGTTCAGTCACTTGACGTCAGATAAAGGAAGGATCCATTTCCCCAGAAACAAGACATAGTTTTGTAAGGGCACTTCTGCATGGTTTGGAAGGAACTTGTGTGACCGCAGACTTCCCCACCCAATTATCTCTTTTTTCCCTTGAATTTAAAGTCTAGTATTCAGAGTCACCAGAAAACCAGTTTGTGTACTGGTATAACATTTTCGTTTTCACTTAAAATATATATATATTGCAAGTAAATGAAAACTGAAAATAAAATTAAAATTAAAAATTTTAATTTTGCTGTGATTTTGAAAACATTGACTATGGATCCTGGTCACTTCCCCAGGCCGAGGTCAGCCAAAAGCTTCCTTGAAAAGAAGACTACAAAGGTTCTGCAAAAAGAACAACCTCATAATGTAGATGGAATACAACACCCGTTAAGTGTATATTGTGCTATCAAAAATGAAAAGTGTAACTCACAGTGAAAGATGTGAAGACGTTCAGATTGGGGTTTGTCCAATCTGTTTTCTGATATTCACATTTGGAAGTTTTAAAGTAGCCTTGGTGAAGCCAATACCCTAAAGACATAGTATCTCTGATTGAAGCAGAAGGAGTTGCAAAGAACTGAGCAGTAGGAAATGGTGAAATGTTTTTAAATTACTAAATATTAATAAAATCATTTCCATGGCAATGCCAAACATTTGAAAATATATTAAAGGCAGTGAAAATAGTCTCGTACTTTCATAAAGACTGTATGTTTTATGTCCCGTGATATTCAAGATGACATTAGTTCAGAGCATAAAACTTGCTTTTTTGTATCCATTTTTATACAGAGCATTAGTGGTAATCAGCTTCGGGTATAAAGTACTGTGCTACCCTTTTTTTGATTCGAGTAAACTTTTCCTATCCTGTGATCTGTATTTCTTTCGTAGTTTTTTGCACAGTGACTCATTCATTGACTTGACACAGAAATATTAACATTCTTTCAACTTTCATCTCTCCATCTGTTTCCTAATAATAGCTTAATTGTCACATCTTTTGATTTTTAGAACTATAAATATTAATAATTAATAATAAAGAGGAAAATATTCAAAAGACTAACTTTGAAAGCAAAACATTCACTTTCTTCCAAGCAATAATTATATTATGCATTAACCCTTAACCTTGCATAAGCCACATAAAATGCACTAAAAATGATAAACATTTTATTCTAAGGAACTCATAGAAAGCAAGTTTCAGTTGCTTACCTGAAAACCATCCGACTGTTCCATCTGTTCTGAGGGGAGAGAGAAGACAAGTTTCCTAATGCCAAAGCAAGGGGCAGATAAACAAAAAATTACCCTGTTTTTCTGTGAGTTTGCATAGCTATTTTGATTAGTTTGTGCCCGGGGGACATAAACCGGAAAGTCTACTTTCTAATTTTGTAGCCCCCACATCTCTCAGTCACATCCAATGTGGTTTCTTTTGTGTGCTATGTAATTCCTTGAAGTTCTCATGTTCCCTGCGGGGGTAATGGAACAATCCACAATTGTTTAATCCTTTCGCTATCGAATGATGTTCCAGGGAGGTCAAAGTTGCATTTTTAAAAATCTACAAATTTCAATGTAAAAGCATGCTTTAAAATTTTTTAAACTTTTTTTTTTTTTTTTGGTGATTATATAAACATTGAGTCTTGGAACGAGTAACCTCTTAAAGCCAAGTATTTTGAAAAGGGGAGCTAGAGCATGGACTGCAGGGGCAGAGGGAAGAATACATGACCGGCTCAGATATGGGGCCCAGAAACATCTAGTCTCAAACTTGTCCGTGTGAGATGAAACTGCAGAAACCAGAAAGCAACTACAACTGTGCATAAAACATTGCTGAACAGCTTTTGTACAAATTATAGCAAATACCCAGAATCATTGCACTATTGCCACGTGGTGATATATTGTACTTATTTCCAATTGGGCACTCTTGAGAGAGGTTCAAAAATTAGATTTCTACCTTAAAAGTCACTCATCTTTCCCAAGAGCCTGATTCAGTAGCTCTGGTGTGGGAAACAGAATTCTTATTTTTATAAGTAAGTGCCCCAGGTGATTTCCTAAGATGCTTGAAAAACACTGATAGAGGTGACTGAAATAAATGGAAGTTTTGTCTACATGTAGATGTCCAACTTGGTTTAAACAGAGCCATTTTAAGAACTGTGCTACTTTTAACTCATTTAAATATGCTCCATCTACTTTAAAAAAAGGGAAACTTGGCTTTGCTTGTTAAAAAACAAACAAAAAGTTATTTTAGGAATATTGGAGGGACTAAAAAATAAAGATAATTTTTAAGTGGCAGTGAAGTCATAGCATAGGTTTACTAAATTCAAAAGATGTTTGAAAAAGTCATTATTTTATCCTCATTTTAAAGATGCTAATTGTACTTTTAAAAAAATATATCTTTATTGATTTCAGAGAGAGGAAAGGAGAGGGAGAGGGAGAGAGAAACATCAATGATGAGAGAGNNNNCCCTGTCTCTTATACACATCTAGATGTGTATAAGAGACAGACTGGGGATCGAGCCCGCAACCCGGGCATGTGCCCTGACCAGGACTCAAACCTCAATCTCCTGGATCCTAGGTCGATGCTCAACCGCTGAGCCATGCCCGGCCGGGCAAAATGCTAATTGTATTTTTACTTAACATTTTCATTCCTCACTTGATAAAATTGGTGTAAATTATTTTAAAGAAATGGGGCCTGAGAAATGTAAATATCATTAATTTTCTTAAAATGTTTTGCTTTTATTAAATTGATATACTTTCATTTAAAAGGTCCAAATCATATAGAAAAGTATAAAAAGAAATAAAAACTATTCAAGATCTTATAATCTTAACATTTTGGTAAGCATCCTTCTAGACATCTCTAAAAGACAGATACATGTACATACACAAGTTTGCATAAATGGATTCATACTGTTCTAGAACCTGTTTGTTTTTTTTTAAATCCCCACCTAGGATATGTTTTTACTGATTTTTAAAGAGAGAGTGAGAGAGAGAGAAGGAGACAGAGAGAAGCATCGATTGGTTGCCTCCCTTTATGCATCCCAACCCCAGATGGAACCCACAACCTAGGTATGTGCCCTGACTGGGAAATGAACCCACAACCTTTTGGTGTATGGGATGGTGCTCCAACCAACTGAGCCACCCAGCCAGCACCTGTTTTTANACCTAGGTATGTGCCCTGACTGGGAAATGAACCCACAACCTTTTGGTGTACGGGATGGTGCTCCAACCAACTGAGCCACCCAGCCAGCGCTAGCACCTGTTTTTATTTGTTTGTTTGTTTTTAATACGTATAAATNTTTTTATTTGTTTGTTTTTAATACGTATAAATTTATATTTTTCAATATCTCTAAAGAAAGATGTCTCTACCTCAAAAGTTGTAATAGCTCTAGCCCTGGCCAGTGTGGCTCAGTGGTTGAGTGTCCCATACACCAAAAGGTCACATGTTGGATTTCCAGTCAGGGCACGTGCCAGGGTTTCTGGCTTGAGCCCCAATAGGGGGTGTGCAGGAGGCAGCAATTGATGTTTCTCTCTCACACTGATGTTTCTCTCTCTCCCCCTCTCCCTTCCTCTCTAAAATCAATAAAAACATATTTTTAAAAAAGTTGTAATTGCTCTATGATATTTCATTCTCTGTATGTATGAAAATTTACCCTGCACCTCAGCTTCCTCAGCTGTAAATGAGTATAAAAATAGTATTGTAGTCCATGCAAACCCGACAGTGCCTGGCACTGTTATATAGAATGAACATTATAACATTCAGTAAATGTTAGCTGCAATTATTATACAGTTTTCCCATTTTTTATTATTAAAAACAACATTAAGATAAACACCTTGTACTTAGATTTTTTTCCATTGTATGTCAAATGGTATATTTTCCATAAATTATTAAAGAACTAGCCTAACTCTGTGTTTCACCATTATTTTAGTCTCCCGTAAAACAGACTGTGATGCAAAGTGCTTGAAGTGAATCCTAGTTACCACAAGGGCTAGTCTTTATTATCCAATGATCAATCAATAACAGATCTATACAATTATGCCTCCAGGTATATATAAGCAATATTTTCATGAAGCTTAGAAATAATATTTTAGGTCCTTTGTAAATAAAAGAATTCATGTTGTTCTTCCAGTTTAACAGAAAGCTTACTGTGTGTTTTTAAAATGACTCGATCTTTTAAGATGCTCCCAGTCTTAAATGATGTTATCGCGTTGGGGCCAAAAAGCTTATAGGATCAGTGCCCAGTATTGTCAAACTAACACCCCAGATTCCCTGTCAGAGTTGATCTCACTCTGATAATATTACTGTGCGCGAATTGCCTCTCTAAAGCACATCATTCTTTGAGCGTGATTTTTTTTCCCAGTCTTTTTAAAAGGCAAGAAAATACCAGTCTGAGGCATATCTATGTCGGCAGGGAAACAAAAGCACCATTGGTGAAAGATTCTAAAGAAACTGAGGAGAGACTAAGAGCCTGTTCTTCTTGGCTGACCACTGAATCTGGCATTGTCGCTGATGGAGGGACAAATAAATCCCAGGTCCAAGTCTCTTTGATGCGGGGGGCACCTCCCAGCCCAAGTTCCCCAGCTAAATGCCCAATACTGGACATGACACTTCATCTTCCTAAAGAGGTTGCTAAATTCATGGGCACTCGCCCCCAAAGAACCTTAGAATGTCTCAACTGCACGGTCATTGTCAACGAGCCTGAGAGGTCTGTGAGAGTGAGATTTTATCAGTAAAGATAAAGGCCGGGTGAAACAAGGTGAAAAGCTAGTTTTTCATGGAATCTAAGGGGGGGGGGGGTCATAAATCCGTCTTTATTTCCTTCACTTTTCCCAGGGAGGTCAGAATCTACTAGAATAATTTTTTCTATGTCTTCAAAATTTTAGTTCCTTATTCATGGTGTATTATAAAGAAAATAATGGATGACATCACCTTACTGTGAAACAGCTAAGTTACATAGAGAGAAGCACAAATGCGACCAAACAATGTGTTGAATTTATTTTACAGATATGACTTTCTCCTCTGGGTTTAAAAAAAAATATTTTATTGATTTCAGGGAGAGGGGGAGAGAAAAACATCAATGATGAGAGGGAGTCATTGATCTGCAACCCGGCACGGGCCCTTACCGGGAATGGAACCGAGATCTCCCGGACCCTAGGTGGAGGCTCAGCCGCTGAGCCAGGCCCACCAAGCTCTCCTCTGGTTTTTAACTTGGCCCATCCTAAGATAAAGTGTTAATCAGCGTCGGAGTTATCTTCTGTTTGCAATAGAGGAAACATACTTAATGAAGGTGTTATTTAACAACTTGGCATTCAAGAAGAAAGCTGAAGCTTGTAATAATAAAAAAGTCCAAAGACATACTCTTTCCAGGTTAAGGACTATTACGGATGGTTCTCAGATCTCGGTGTGGGAAGGTTTCCAAGGGTGTTTTGTGAGATAAGAGTGAATCCACCCTCTGCTGCTTCCCAATCCCACCCCTCAGGATTAATTCACGCCTCATGGCAACACAAGTTCCTTCCTATTCTTGGGGGTGAGCTTTCTATTTGAAATGAGAGAGAAGGTGGGGAAGAAGCGGCCCTTCCTCAAGCAGTCCTCAGAGAGGGGCTGGGGTGGGGGAGGGGAGGCGAGAGAAGGGCGCCGGAAGAGCCCCCTCTCCGGGCAAACGGGAACAACAGTGGCCAGACCTTCCGCCCCAAGTTAACATTTCCTAATGCCCGGTCCGAGCAAGGCGGGACAGGGAAAACAATGGCATTCCTGTATGTCAGAAGGTATTTTAAAAGAAGGCACTGGATCCAGCTCGGGTTGTACGTCTGCGTTTTAACAGCATAAACGGGGGAGCGGGGAGCGG